GTTACTAACTACCGACTCACGCTATCCTTGTCCCTGCATTATTGCTCTTCAAAAAAGGCCTCGATGAAACGCTCTCCAACTTGCACTACTTGATCTAGTCGTTTAACTTGGAGGTCGAAATAAAATTAACCATGTGCTTGACGGCCCTCTCCGCAAGGTTGCGGTGAGGATACATGCAGAACTGTCCATGTGAGTAGCCTAGATGTATCTAAACTGGATGAACACACCGTATCTGTCAAATGAAGAAACAAACGAGTGAGCGTCGTCGTTTCCTTTTTCATTTCACACGAACTTACTGAACTACAACAGCTCTATACTATTTTGTGTATGCACATCGCATCCCCAGTTCAAACTATCTTTATGCAGTAGTGCATTTAAATCGGTGGACGCTTGAAATATTGATTTACTTATTCGAGGATCCTTTACATTCTAATTTTTACTCCAACCATCATACGGGACTTGTTGAGCACATGTTTTTACCCCGTGATAAATCATTGCTCATTGTTCATTGACTAGCCATTAGTGACTAAGCATTACTCAATGATACCAGATGAAGCCTCTGTCGGGTACAGCGTCTATCGTTGTTGTTTTCAGTCAGGCCGTTCTTCACCGGGTCGAATTACAGAGTCGATTGAACACCAATATCGGAGCATGAGTCGGCCGACTACATAAAATAGCGGGCGAATATTACAAGTTAGTTGGGCCCTTTAGTGCTCACGACATATCGATACAGAGTGGTGGTAGGAAGCTGCCATGCAGAAATGACTTGGAACGGTGGAATGAAACACATGAGAAGCCACCGACATCTGTTTATGCTTGATCAAAAATCACGCACGAAAGGGTCATATGGTGCCTTGAATCCGGATAACGGCTAGCGTTTCTATGTGCACAAAAACATTGGGCTTGGGGTCACACAACCATGGCAAGTAGAGCAGCTTGGAGGCAAGTGCATATTAGGTGTTGGAATGATCACATACGTCTACAGATGTTTTTGACGAGACGCAGTAGCAGGTGCTTGAATTAGTTCGGTGGTTTTAATAACGATAATAATGATTTTATTTGCAAACGTTTAGGACGTCACCTGCATTAACGTAGGCAACCATTCATATGGTTGGCGTCATCCGGTTTCGGATTTGCCTGTCACTTTGGCCAGCCACAGCACGCCTGCGCCTACAGAGGGACCATGGGTGGCTTGCGCTGCACCACCCACAGCTCCATCCACACACCCCATATGCAGTGTAAACCCGAAGGAATAAGACCGGGAGGCATGTGGATGGAGCCACGTTTCATCAACGGAGCCGACCCACACTCCTTCACAGGCAAACACAAGCACGCTGCAGTTGGGAATCAATCACACACAAGGCGGTGGCTGGACCGTAGTCCACTCCACACTGAGTGCATGGAGCCACTCTTCGAGCCTAGCACGGCCACAAGGACCGTGCACCCCGTCCCCTCCAGCAACGACCAACTGTCGCCTGGAGCCAGTATGGACGAGGTAGTGAGTAATAGACAGGTAGGCACCTTGACAACATGCACCTCAAGCGCAGCCACACCGGGGATATCAAGCAACAGCCAATCACTTGCGAAAAAGACGCAAAGAAAATATATCGAGTAATGCATAAGGAAGCGTGTCAAAGTTCTTAAACTAATCAGCATGTGAAAAAGTTGTTTACCAACGAATCCGAGATAAGTTCACGAGGTCAGAAAGTATACTTTACGGAAAGGCCACGAAAAATAAAATGTTATGGTAATCGACTACAATTGGCTTAAGCGACGTGTGCAAATTCGTGCAACAGAGTACAGATGGGCATTTATATGAGAAAGAAAAGCATTGGGACAAAATTGAAACCCACCACCTAAATTAGGAGACTCAGCATGCAGACACGCGGTTAGTAAATCGAATACAGGGTACCTACAAACGCTGCGCCGGTGCTGCCTACGTTCTATACAGGACCCGTCGTCGCTTCGGTAGTGGTCTCGAGTGGCCTCACTCATGGCTCACTAAGAATGCCTGACTAAGGCACTCGCGACCATATGTGCTACAGCACCATGCGCTCGATGTCGATGGAGTACAATTCATCGGTGCTTGCCGCTTCCGCAACTGCCGCTTCTTCTCTGCATGCATGAGGGCTTTCTCCCGCACTTCAGCAACTGCCTTCGTGATTAGATCGCGCCACGCATGCTGATCAACCGCTTTCGATTCCCATGATCTGCAATCAAGATTAGAACGTGAGTGGCTCACTTTAATCATCTCCTAGTAACGTAACTTTGGTTTCCCCACGTGCCACTTCCCCAAACTCAGCTGGCCATATCATGGGTGGTTAGGTATCGGCGTCGAATCCATACGGCTCACATGACCGAGGCACCTCAGGTGTATCAGCAATAGTATACAGTCTACTGCATACATTCAACTTTGTTGCAATACTTCTGTGTCAGCGACTCTCTCGACCCAACTGATGTGCAAAATTCGTCGCAAACACTGCTGATTGAGCCACTCGAGATATCGCACACCGTATGCACAAGCGACATCAAAAGCACAGGACATCATTGCACGAAGATATATATTAAACAGGGCAGGAGCTAAGACACAGCCTTGCTTCACACCAGAGACAACTGCAAAGTCATCCGAGGTCTCTCCACTCAGCTGCACCCTCGCTCGCATACCACTGTGCAGACATCCAATTAAACTTACAAATATACGCGGGCAACCAAACCTACCCAACACCAGCCACAATGCCTCGTGGTTCACCGTATCAAATGCCTTGGTGAAATCAACAAATGCGAGTACAATGGCTGGTGTCGTTCTCTGCACTTCTCCTCAAACTGACGAGCCGCAAACACCATATCTATAGTGCTGCGACCCGAACGGAATCCCCACTGCTCTTCCGCCACGTTAGGTGCCACAACCTGACTCACGAGGCGATTGAGCATTACTCGGGCAATCACCTTGCCCTCACAACTCAGCAAGTTGACGCCATTAACATTTATTTTTGACATTTGCATGCATGGCTCGAGGGATGAGCTGTACAGCAATATGCCAAGAGAGGACGAATGTCCCGGCAGAATAGGAAACACTGATTGAAATAAAAAACTTCAAACAGTGGTCGGAACCGCGTCAATTGTCACCGTGTGGGATTGGGTGCATCTTATGTAAGGCGTGATGATGCACCATGCATGTAGGTGTCGTAGACCTTCAGAGTCAGACGAAGAGTAGAAACACAGAGGTCAGAAATGTCAAGTGATGTCATCCCGAGTGCGGTAAGATGTTTGGCTAAAGGTGGAATAAATCATCCCTCGATTATTGATAACGACGGGGTGGTGAACAATATTTGTCGTCTCAGGAAACTGTTCACGTATGTACCGCGATATGGCTGCGGCATTCTCCCCTGATCCGTATTTATTCACTTTCAGTTTATAAGTACAATCCATTCGGTGCGCGTCACAGATGGCCACGTCCACAATGTGAACCGTAGAATTTCTAACCGCAAGCAGGTCTGGCTTGATGAAGGAGGTGGCTGTCGGAATCCTCGGCTCCATAACAATGTTAATGCTTCGGCGTCGCAATTGCCTGGCAATCTGTTGGGCAATTTCATTATGACGTTTACAGCGGACATCATGCGTGATGCAGCACGCCTGAAGAACATGTGACAGAGTCTCTTTTTGTCCGCAGCTCCCGCGGCAGTTGAGAGAAGCCGGAACATTTGTAGATCTGCCTCTGTTCCGTCACGTTTTGGTAGAAAGAACACCCCCCCCCGTAGTTGGACACCCCGTATGAAAAGACATGGAAAAATCCTGGTGGGGTCCCTCATCCAGTGGTGAGCGGAAGGTGACGTGACCACGTTTCGCAAGGGAGAGCCATCCACTGAAGCAAAAAAAGCATCTCTCCAGGCATCCGCAGCTGAGCTTTTATCCATGACGACGCGATTACCGATGGCAACAGTGGAGCGCGCTAGACGATGGATGGCAGCGGCTGCAGGGTCCCGGATCGCCCAACTGGTCACTGGATGGCAGTTGGCTAGGTGTCGTTCCAGCCTCTTCTTCCGTAGCAGGGGAATACTCGTTAACAGACACGAAATACCCAAACCAAAGCTCACAATGGGAGCGTGAAGATATGCGATGGAGGTGTCTGACGGCAAGCGCAGCCATTTTCTGACGTGTGATCTGACAATGCGATCCAACCGCTTCAATGTATTCCGGTGAACCACTGCCAGAGCTAACTGATGAACATACTTGGAGAGCAGATGGGTCCTCAGAATCTCAAGTCGTTGTTGTGGTTTAAGCGGTGCCTTGGTAACTTCGTTAAGTTGCACAGTAATATCGTCGATTACTGTTAGAGGGAGCTTACCCTTCCAGTTAAAAGGCAGGCCCAACATCTTGAACTTTTCATCGGGCTAAATGGGGGGAATAAAAATAGGACCACAGTCCAAAGCATTCGTATCCAGTATAGTTCGTTTGCGAGCGCCATCAACAATTATATTTACCGAGAAAGATTTTAGATGGTTGATGTTGAGGCCGACGCACTGCAGTCGTTGATGGAATCGCTGAAGGTGATCTCCCAGAGAAATGCGATCTTGAGCAAAGATGATCACGTCGTCCGCGTAAGCGAGGTACTCAATCGGGCCAGCCGGTGATATCAGAA